TTGGTACTGTCACTATTCCGGGTCTGAGAACCTGGATTTTCAGGTACCATCGGTCTGCTGAGGCCACGGCGAGGGCGGCAGTCCGCATATGGTCGAGACCAGTTGACAAGGGGATTCATTCGGGGAGAGGACGAGACCAGCGTGTCTGGCGTACACCGCCCACAACACGGCTCAGTTCAGACAGGCGAATTCGAAGAGAGTGTGAGAGAGTGTGTGGTGCGCCCAGGTCAAGCTGTGGAGGGACACGATCGAAGGAGGGCAGTGCGCCAGGTGTGYGCAGCGCACTGTAGACACTCCCGGCGATGGTCAACTTCTGCTGAAGCCTCTTCTCACGCCCGAGGCTCTGACCAAGGAGACGCTGGTTGCGGCTGGCGCATTGATAGTGGAAGGAGGGCGAGTTGATCGCGGCGTCGTCCCTGCAGAGGGAGMTTGCTAGCCATGTTCGCGAAAGGGGCGTGCACAGCAGATCAGACCACAAGGTGTGTTCTGCCAGTGATCTGAGTGCTAAAGTGAAGAGTCTCGGATGTTGCGGGGGGGAGACACTTTCGAGAGGCGGTCTGAGAGCACTGTCAACAGGGGGCRTTCGGGTCGGATGTCTGGTGGAGAATTGGATAACCCGTGGATGAGAGCATAAACGGTTGCCTTCAGCCATTGGCGTGAGTTCCCATCCCGCCGGTGGAATCAGCTGTACCAGCGGTGAAAACTTCAACAACCTTCAGTTAACGAGGGGATCGGTCATCCCGCAAATGAAGTCAAGACTCAAAAGTCATTTCTTGCAACAAGTCGCGCACCGCTGTTCCAGCAGTGATGAGTGCAGCTACTTTCAGTTGGTGAAGGGATCTGCTGACCAGCGATCCAAAACGACAGTTACGCTCAGTGGCTGGTGGATCTTGCTAATCCGCTGGCAATGAGACCAGCCATTCATCTACGACCAGGTATTAAGGAAAGATAAGTATATACGCATACACAAATAAATAAATCAATAAATAGTTGGGAGTATGGTTTGCGTGAGTCGCTGAGCGAAGAGAGCCATTGCCCAGTGGGGGAGAGATGGAAGACAGAGGGGGCAGGGCTCGTGGAGTGAGAGACTGAGAGTTCAAGGACAAGAGAGAAAGGAAGAGAGAGCGTTAATGAGTGAGTGAGTGGGTGCCGCGAAAGAGTGAGTGGGTTAACGAAGAGAATGTGAAAGAGTCAGTGAGGGTGACTGAGGGATAGACGGGCGCGAGCACATGGCTTTTTTTTTCTCAGATGATACGAGTGCACTTGGACTCATAGGTGGGCAGGTTAATTCGGGGCTGAGCAAGCGAGGCTGCGATGACTTGATGGGCTGTCGAAGGGAGAGGGGATGACAGAGAGGGAATCACTGAGTGAGAGTGTATGTGGGTGTGAGACTGTGTGTGTGTAAGAGCGTGCGAGGGAGTGAGGGACAACGAGAAGAGGAAGAGAGAGGAGAGAGGAAGAAGAGAGTGCTCATACTTGTGCTACCCGCCCCCCCCTTTCCTCTACAGAGTAGCATGGAATATTGAAAGGCAATGCCCGACCCTCTTTGAGAATAACATTATACGTGACGGTAACCACGGGCAGATTCACTGCAGGGAGAACTCGAGTACTGCGCGCATAGGGAAAAAGGAAATGGAGGGAAAACCGACCCTCGCCGCTTGAGTCCATGGAAAGCTGCTCGCAGAAGTGATTTTTTTTTTGGGAAAAGCTCTTCGGAGCGCCCGTCTGCTGGCATCTGCCATGAGTTGTCATCAGCTTGAACCGGTCATTTTCGGGGCATGTATCTGCTGAATCGGTCTTTCCTGGGAAAGCTCTTCAGAGCGTGCGTCCGCTGCCTATCTGTCTAGGCCCTATTGTTAATACAAGCAACTCGAAGATTTATCTTTATTCTCTGTTYAAGGGTAGATATGTTTACCTGACAGAACTCGCGAGCAAGCCAAATACAGAGGAGAAATGAGAGTGTTTATAAGCGAGAGAGAAGGGAGAGAAWGGAAGAGAGGGAAGCCCTAAGTGAAGGCTACGTCCCTCGCTGTTTGACAAGAATGTTTTCGAAGTGAAGGTGAAATGGTTTTCCCGGTATCTGCAATCG